AAGAGTTAAGAGTCTGAAGAACGGGAAGAGCAAAGCACAAACATGGCTAACAAATCAGGAGAATCAGAGGAGAGCAAAGCTCAAGACCGGTAAGGTAAAACCTGCCATTTCTTGTGTTGTTTGTACTATGAGCCATAAATATCTCCTTGGATGTACTCAAAACTCAAGTGGACAAAGCCTTGAGCCAAATTCACTGTTGGCCTTGCTTTGAGAAGGGGATGAATCTGATGAGCCTCAGGGCCCTTTCCAGTTAGACCATTTTGTGATCCCATGTAAGCGGCAGGAGGGGTAGGTGTGGAACTAATTTCAGTTTGTAAGAAGTACAGAGTTACAGTAACTGAAGTGGAAGGCTGCTGATACTATGAGCTGCTACAGAGAGAAACGATTAGGTGATTGTCAGAGTTCTGATAGAGATGTGATTTTGTCGCTTCCCAGCTGGAAAGGTAGAGGAAAAAAGTATCTCTTCTGCAACCTGAATTGTACAGAGTGGATCCAGAATCAATTGTTGATCTTGGTCAGGTTTTTTTTTTTTTTTACATTACCCTTTCTTCTAAATGAATGTGCTTCTAGTTGGTTTTGCTTTCTATCCTGGGGTGCATTAAACACAGTATAACCAGCCGGTCAAAAGAGGTGATTATCCCGCTGTATTCGGCGTTGGTGCGGCCTCACCTGGAGTACTGGGCCCCACAACTTAAGAAGGATGTGAAGGTCCTTGAATGCATCCAGAGGAGGGCAAGAAAGCTGGTGGTGAAAGGGCTGGAAGGAATGTCCTGTGAGGAGCGGGTGAAGACTTTGGGCTTGTCTAGTTTGTAGAAAAGGAGGCTGAGGGGCGACCTCATCGGTGTCTACAGCTTCCTGAGGAGGGGAAGTGGAGAGGGAGGTGCTGATCTCTTCTCCCTGGGATCCAGTGATGGGACTCATGGGAACGGTTCAAAGCTGCAGCAGGGGAGGTTCAGACTGGACATGAGGAAGCATTTCTTTGCCAGGAGGGTGGTCAAACACTGGAACAGGCTTCCTAGAGAGGTGGTCGATGCCCCAAGCCTGTCAGTGTTCAAGAGGCATTTGGACAATGCCCTTAGTAACATGCTTTAACTTGGTCAGCCCTGAATTGCTCAGGCAGTGGGACTAGATGATCGTTTTAGGTCCCTTCCAACTGAAATAGTCCTGTTCTGTTCTATTCTATTCTTTCTATTTTCATACAGGGTTTCACAGAAGGAAGAAATAATTTATCTAATTATGTGTTATTAATTTATCTAATGGGTATTAGTTTTTTAGTTGTGTATTATTTCTGTTATTTTCTAATTGTCAGTAGCTTTTTCTTTTAAGTTACTTCTAGCACTGGAAACAAACATATCAGAGGAAAAATGGATCCCTTGTTTTGGCCATCAGAAGCTAACAGCTTTCGGCGTTTCACCCCTGAGTCCTTGGCAGCAATCGAGGAAAGAATTGCTGAGAAAAAAAAGCAGCAAGCCAAAGTTAACCAGGAGAATAAGGACCAAGGAGTTGAAGAAGATAAACTTACACCTCAGCTTGATCTGAAAACCTGCAAAAAACTGCCATCTCTTTATGGGGATGTTCCTGTGGAGCTCATTGGGGAACCCCTGGAAGATATTGATCCATACTACAGTGATCACAAGGTTAAATCTTTCAAAAGCATTTTTTTTTTATTTAATTTTGTCTGCTGAACTCTTAAGAGATAGTAAAAGCCCTGTTCAGGAGATGCTGGTTTTCGATTGTTCTGTAGACAGATTTTCGAATATTACTATCTTTTTTGGGGGGCAGGAGTGCTAAGGTATGCTCCGCATTATATAATGAAAAGGTATTTTAAGTTCCAGTCAGCAATCAGAATTAATTATGAAAACAAGATACACTTGAAAGATACACTTTGATAGGAAATATATTCAGGGATAACTGATGCTTTGTTTTCCAGAGCAGTTTCTATGATGTCTGTGGGGCTGAACTCACTGTTGTATAGACAGTGCCCGTCAAACAGTAATCATGCTGTAACTGCTGACTTACTGCAGATGTTTTTGCTGAATTACAAATACTATACAAATTAGGGGTGACATAGTTGAGATGTTTCCAGTACTCTGTGTAGCAAAACCATGCATTTTTGTTATAGTAAATTAATTTTCTGTTATTTTATGTCTCATCAGCTTTGTTTATTGTACCATATTTATATTGCATATACTCCATGCTATTGCAAAGTGTTTTGTGTTGTTGCCTATAGGAGTGTGTAAAGTAGATGCTCTAGGAATGCCTTCTAAAGGAAATGTCTGTTGGATGATTGCTTACTGTTGAGGGGGACTTGACCTGAAGAGCAGAAGGTTCCATCCAGTCCTATGTTGCTGTCTTTTATGTATACCAGCAAGCCACTGAAATATAATGATTTAGTCAGAGAACATGCAGAAAGCTTTGTTCTTCCAGAGATTTTTTTTTTCTCAAAGTAATCAAAGTGATACTCTTGATGAGGAGAAACTAAGGCTGGTTCAGTTGAAGACATTTAGATAAAAGTTAGTGAACTGTGTCTTTAAGAGATTTCATTTTTACTTCATGTGGCAAAAGTACTGAGCCGAGTGGACCTTAAGGTAGTTTAGAGGGAATTTACAGTGTTACTTGATAATTCAAAGATATTTCAAAATGAAAATTTTTGCTTTGACTGGACTGGATTCTGGCAGTCCTACACAATACGTATTTTGTAAATAATCTTTTGTAACCTATAAAACTATCCAAGAGTAAGGTAATTTTGAATATGATTACCACCATTGTTGCAGTCCCAGAATAGTATCCTTTAATTACTCTGACCAAGAGTATATCATCATTTGCTCTGCAAATTCATTCCCATGAGTACTTCTTCCTCACAGGCAATAATGAACTTTTATATAGCTCGTGTCTTTCTTTCAAAATGTAGTATCATCAGGTCACAGCTCCAAGTAAGAATACAGGAAAGCTGTACTCATAACTGCAGTTAGATACAGTTCTAGGTGTAAATTTGAAAACCTAAACATTTAATTTTTGAGGAAAATTTTTTTTCATTAAAATATTTCATATTCTATTAATCTTTTTTTTTTTTAATAGACTTTTATGGTGATAAATAACAGGAGGACTATTTTCCGGTTTACTGCCACGCCTGCCTTGTGTATAGTTGGTCCTTTTAATCCAGTCAGAAAAGCAGCAATTAAAATTCTGATCCATTCATATCCTTTTATTGGCTTCCGTTATTTCAGTTTTAAAGTATACTGTACCATTTTCTGTCATTCTTTTCCTCTGTTCATATTAATGTAAGTGTAAGCTCATGTGGCCATGATAGAGATTTTTAAAAAGTTATATTGAATCTGGTTTCACAATAGCTGAGATATTTATATGATGTTGGTACAAGTAAAAATGTCAAAAAGCTCATATTTAAAGTCAGATTTGCAGATATTGTTACAAAACAACATTTAGAGGCTACTGTATGATGTTTTAGCCCTTTTCCAGAACTTTTTCTAAATCTCTACTGTGGTGACAAGCTTAAATTTAAAAAAAAAACAAAACAGTGACTCCCTAGTTATTAAAACATGAATGATGTGATTTATGGCAATGCTTTGCTGAAAGTCTGATATTATCCTAAGAAATGTATTTCACACACAAGTTTAGAAAGTTCTGAAGAGCGCCCATTTTTTATATTTTTGCAGAAACAAACATAGTTTGAAGAAAGTAGAAATGTGAAGGACTGCAGGCGCAAAACCATAGGCTGAGTAGTTTCTGCTCTTCCTGCCAAATGTCTGTTTTCATGTGGAATTATTAATTTGTAGAAATAGGTCCTTTTATGGGAACTTACGTCTGACTTTGAATGCATATTCATGCTATTAGAAATTACTAAATTTGCTTCTCAGTTTCAAATAAATCCTAAATCTAAGGCCAATGTTTGTCTTAAAGAAAACCCCACTTTTATTAGGTGACAAGTGAAGTTTCATGAAAGGTTGTCTTTTCTTATGTATGTTTTCATCACCTGCCATGTAAAATGAGAAAGTTTTCTGAACTCATGGCAGAGCATAGACGTCTCTTGTAAGAATGTATAGATGGACTCCCAGTTTCAAAGAACACTGGTTATTGATGATTAAGATTTTTCATCTGGTTTTCCTAGGCTTAAACACCCTAGTTATTATGGGGTTGTGGCCTGTTTCTCTTTATTCCATGCTCCTGCTGGGAAGAAATGGAGGTTTCTGAAGTTTCAAGTAACAGTAGAGAGGACAGGACTCAGATTTTTTTCACGTATTTATGTTCCTCGTCTCTTCTGTCAAACATATTATGTCCCACTAATGTCCTAGCTTTGAAAGCTATCTCCACATATGGATAAGTCATTGTTATTTTTGAACCACGAAGTTGACCCAGCTGAGCAGAGGTTTGATCTGACATCAGTTTTTGGAAAATACATGAAAAGTCCTGAGCATATTCAAAACCAAAGTAATTATTTGAATATCTGTATGGTTTTTTGTGTGTAAATCTGCAACTTTTCTGAACTTCAGTGTTTTATAATATAGCACTTTTTCCTTAATTTATTATTCACATTATTTGTTGGCTTTATTACATGTACTGTGGTACTCAATTGTGCTTCTATGGCTGTAACTAAGCTTCCAGAAGCACTCAACTGGACTGAGTAAGTATTTCAGCTGCCATTTGTTCACTCTTTTTCTAAGGTTACTAACATGCTGGACTGAAAAATTCAAATCATGTGGTGATCTATTTCCAGGGCTTGAAAATTCTCAGACAGACCTCTAAGGAAAATTTAGGATTATTATTATATCACACAGCCTTCTGTGGAGCTTCAGTGCCTTTTATTAGAGGCTTACACCATATGCCCTTTTCACTACGTTGGCTAATTTTGCCATCTGGTGTAACATAGAAGGTTGCCCCATTTTTCCTTTTAAGGATTAAGCCTTTTAGAGAGACTGCAGCAGGATTCTAACTTAATATCCCTAATTCTAAGGCAATAACCTGAATGTCTGTTATGGCCAGCTCATGCAAAAAGTATAAAGGGATAAATATTCATTCCATTCTTTCTTGCTGTTTCCCAGGAACACCCCTAGTTCAGTTGTTCACATTCGGAAGCCATCTATTTATAACGTCTTGTTACCTTTTGTAATTGTGCACCATATCCAGTGTAACTTGAGTTAAGATTCTAGAATTAAATCTTGAAAATGTGCCTGGAGCCTCAGAGGGTCTATAATTTTAATTCCTTTTGTTTTGGGGTAAGCATGGTGATAATGATAGCTTAATTTTCTGTAGGATTTCTTTCAGTTACAGAGTTTTTGTGAGAATAAATGTATAAAATGTGCAAACTTTACAGGCTAAATTAAGTCTTTGCTGTTACTGTTCTGCCAAAATGTTGAGGCTTTGAAATTTTCCAGCGTGCTTTAGAACATAATCACAGTCTCGAAATTCTTTCATAAGGAAATGTGAGCTATCCTTCATCCAGAAATAGCATGGTATGCTTATGTAAACATTTGTGATTATAGATTTACAAGGAAATCTTACTTACACAGAAATTCAGGAAGGCATCTTCTTATACCCATGATGTTTCTGAAAGTAATGTAACCTGTCCTTTTTTACTTCTCATTTTCTACCTTCTTCCAGTGACTAAATGATAGAAAAGGTAGAAATGTGCCTGAATGTGTGTCAGTCTCATTAATATTTCTATTTCTGTAACTTTAATATACACTTTCCTTCTCAGATATGTTTTTACTGGCATATATACTGGTGAAATAGTGATAAAAATATTAGCAAGAGGATTTGTTTGGAATGAATTTACCTTCCTTCGAGATCCATGGAACTGCTTGGATCTTGTCGTTACTATCGTAACGTAAGTAAAACTTGGTTGTTCTTTTACACTCAAGGCACAAATGCAGATAAAATGCTGTTTGATATTGCTGAAGTTCTTTAGAGTGGTTGGCATCCTACCTGCTTAAGAGTTACTGTGGTTGAATCACCCTTAAAGCAAGTCCTAAATGCAAAGCTCATCTCAGAACTGTTTGATTGTTCTCAATGTAGTACGTATTTAGATTTCATTAAGAGGCAGTTGCATAGACAGCTGAAACGAAGCATGCCTCTTTATATTGTCTTAGTTGTACTCTGGATCACATGAAACTCATCTGAGAAGGATCTAAAGTGGGTCACAAGGTGTTGAATGACACGGTGATAAATAGCAGATGAAATCCCAAGAATGTAAAGTGATACTCAAGGAAAAACAGACCTAGCTTTACGTACACAGTTATGGGCTCTGAAATAGCTTTCACTTGTTGGGAAGACGATGTTGGCATTAAAATAGACAATCTTGTGAAAACACCACTCCAGTGTGCAATCATGGTCAGAGAAGGAAATAGAAAATGAGGACATTATAGGTAAGAAATAAAGAAGGAAGCAGAACACATAGTAATTTCACTGTGTGGCCTGTATTTTTCTTCAGGACTAGATGTAGTTTTGCTCCTGACATCTCAAAAGATGACAGAATTAAAAAAGATGCAGAGAAGTTGTGTACCTTGTATTCTGCATAATAAGAAACTAAATAGAGTAGAACTCTCATGAAAAAAATACAGAGCAGGAACATGGTTGAAGTCTGTGGTACAGAGCCAAAAAGAGAATAAATAATTTATTTTTTTATCCTACAACAAGAGCTAAAGGCACCAAATGAAGTTATCAGGTGGCAGAATAAAAAAAAAGGAGTAGTTTTTCACACTACATGTAGTCATATTCCCATAGGAGATTTTGAGTGAAAAAAACCTAGTTGCATTCAGGAGGCTTCTGGACAAAATCCTGCATGAAAACACATTAAGGGTTATTTTTAACACAAAGATATTATGTCTTGTTCAGGAAGTCCCTGAGCTATAAATTTGCTGGAAGAATTAAGTCTACGAAGCATCACTGCCTTGATTCTAAACTCCCCTGTAAGCATCAGTTGGGGGTCATTCTTGAAGACAGGGTAATAAGCCAGATCGATCACTGCTGTGGTCAATTTTAAACTTATATCAAAACCAACTAGCTAGGTAGACAAGAAATGAGGAATAAACCAAGTCAGAATTTGTATCTCAAATAGAGAATGTTAATCTCAAAAGCAAAACAGTCTTACTTGCAGCAGTGACCAGATTCACTCATGCCCAGTCCCAGAGCTTTCAAAGCAAATCTCTGTCATTTAGCATTTCTGAATAGTTTTCAGTTGTCTTGTTCTAATTTATTAGAGGTGTGGAGTAATTTAGATTGGAAGGGACCCCTGGAGATCATGTGGTCCAGTTCCATGCTAAAAGCAGGACTAATTTAGATTAGGTTGCTCAGGACCTTGTCCAGTCAAGTTCAGAGTTTCTCTAAGCATGGAGATTCAACAACGTCTCTTGGGGTCTTAAACTCCACCTTCTCATGGGCTCTGTAGCAAAGCTGCCATCAACTGTCATATCCCTGACTGGATTTTCCTTGTTTGTAAATAATAGGTTATGTACTTGGATGTCATCACACACATATATATGTATATGAACAAAGTATTGTTGTGCGTAATCTGTAAGCCATTAAGGAGCTTACACATTGTTAATCATCAGTAACTATCAAGTAGTCCAACAGCTGTAGGAACAATTTCATTTTATAATCCCACTTCCCTACCTGTACTCCTAATTCATTTCTGTTCAAGCAGATATAAGCAGTTTGCGATACAGTCTCTCCCTCTGGTTTTTTGGCTCCTGTGATGCAACAAATAAAAGTATTTGGAAATTAACTCAACAGTTAACTCAAGTGTGGTTATTACTTAGGGTACCTGAGAATTATTTAATTTTACAGTGTAGGCAAAGCATTAGTGCTCTGATCTATTGCTGACAAAAGTCATGCTTTGAGTAGGAGGTTGCCTAGATCACCTCCAGAGGTCCTTTCCAACCAATGTTTCTCAGATTCTGTTATTGAGACTTTTTATTTTAAGGAATTCTGTTACCAGTTATGACCTTGTCATAAGATAAGTCACAATTCATGTCCATTCTGACATGAAAGAAGTCTTGTAAAATATGGGGTAACCTGTTAAAGTACTGTGTAGAATACGCAACTCTTAAAATCCTCATTTTCTGAATTTGTCCAATTGTTGAAACAGTTAAATTGAAACTAGTTTCAATACTCAAGTTCTTAGCTGACTGTTAAGTAAACGTTAGAAAGACAGCCATGCAGTACGGGATTAACGTATTTGTAAACCTAGTTTTGCTCAACTCCCTTCCCCTAAAATATGTATTGTGTAGTTTTGAGATAGCTGCAACATATACTTTCATGTGATCTAAATCAGATTAGCCTCTGTATGAGAGGGTTTTATATTTATTTGACATTTTGATGGATAAACACTTCAAAAGTTAAGCATCCAAATCCACAGTTTCTTTTCAGAGGCACTATTCAAAAGTTATTGTTTTGTATCAATACCTGGAAACGGACTTAGATTCCTAAGTTTAGACATCTACCTTAGGACATATTTGACCTATTTATTTTCTGTAACTTATTAATTACTGTGTGCTCAATATGCATATGCTCTGAAAAGCTAAATCTTTGTCATTCAGTTATATGGTGGTTTAATTTTATAGGTATGTTACTATGTGTAAAATTGTGGGCAAGGTTTCAGCTCTTCGAACTTTCAGAGTACTGAGGACTTTGAAAGCTATTTCGGTAATACCAGGTAAGGAACAACATGTCTTACTAATTTTCTCTCTGCTTCAGCAGTATGCTATTTCTAATTCCTCTCCTGTTCTTGTCTTCAGTTTTCTGGTCACTCTTTGTGACAGTTAACACGATCCCAAGGTGTGACTGTTTTGCAGTCTGTAGCAACTCTCAGCAGCATCCTAACGGAGTATTTTTTATCATCTTTCCTCAAAATGATTTTGATGCAGGCAAATTTTTGTATTTTCTGCTTTTTCTATCCCATCACTAATGTTCAGTTTTAGTTAGCCCAGTGCCTTTGACTTTTTACTTTGCTGTCTTTCCTGAGCAGCACACCCTATTCAATATGTTGTCTTAATATAATGATGGCTATACCACCATATTTCTGGTTTCATGTTATACTTCATTAGCTTAATCTTCTATGGTTTATTTCCCAGAATGCTGACTTAACAATATTTCAGAGTTTTTTGTCTGTTTGTTTACTGACCACAGCCACTATCTGGATTGAGCATAAGATTTTCATCAACAGTGTTTTACATATGCTGTCCAGATATTCGATATTTTTGTAAGTTGTGCCACTAATTAGGATACCAAAGTGCGGATTTCAGAATCTAACTGCAAGAACTGATTTGAAAATCTATAAATGACTATATATCCCATTGTCATAGTATATATTAACTTCACCGTTTCTATGTAATTACAAATATATTTTTGATTTTGCTATGGAATTATAACAGGCATTAGACATAGGATGTGTTTAATTTTTAACATCAAAGCCACCCATCAATACTTTTCCTTTCATATTCACCATGGAGAACAGAGATTAAATGTAATTTTACTTTTTTCTTATGAAAGGCTTCTAGAAGAATCCTGGATATCACTCTCTGCCTATGTCATATTTCAAATTCAGTTATTCTGCCAGAATATTGGTCTTCAGTTCATATACAACACATTTTCGAAGAATCGAACGGTGGTTGAGGTTGGAATGGACCTCTGGACATCATCTGGTCCAGCCCCTCTGCTCAAGCAGGGCTACCTAGAGCTGGTTGCCCAGGCCCATGGCTAGACAGCTTTTGAATATCTCCAAGGATTGAGATTCCACAGCCTCCCTGGGCAGCCTGGGCCAGTGCTCAGGCACCCTCACAGTAGAAGAGTGTTTCCTGCTGTTCAGAGGGAACCTTCTGTGTTTCAATTTGTGCCCATGGCCTCTGGTCCTGTCACTGGGCACCAGTGAAAAGAGCCTGGCTCCATCCTCTTTGCACCCTCCCTTCAGGTGTTTCTATACATTGGCTGTCCCCGTGTGCCGTTGGGCTGTCCCCGTGTGCCCTAAGACCAACCGGCGGGGAAAACGACCGGCCTGGCTGAAT